TTTGAAAAAACAAATATACGCGATTTAAATCCGGAAAAATAGTTTCATTTCCTATATATATATATACCTATTCTGTTGGACTTGCGCCCATTTTGACTCATCATTCTTTAGAAAGAAAATAAAATTCTACTAGTACCTTGGAACATGCGTTGTCTCAAAAAAGGAAGTGTAAAACTTCTACATTACTACAATTTTCGGTTTTATAATGAAGTTCAGAACTCTCATGTGGTATTTACCTATATTGCAAATTTTGCCATAACTTCAAAGCTACACCCTCTCATCTTTGTTAGAAAGCATCTTCAGCATTTTAAGTATTGCACGTGCAAAATTGCTTAATTTTAATAACCATTACCACACAGAGAGGTGTCGGCTTTTAAGGAGACTTCACTTTACAACTATATTAAATTCCATCAGGAAATTTTGAAATTTTCAGCTAAGCCTTTCACACTTTCTTATGAAACAATTTGAGCATTTCTGAATTGGACATAGCGATGAAGAAAAATTAAATTTTTCATTTAATTTAAAATAATTAAATTTAAACCGAAGTCTAGCAACTGAAAATATAATCTTAGAAAATCTTACAAGTCAAAGTTTATAATATATAATAATAATTATAATTCTTTTATAAAAAAACCGATCTCAAAAGTTTGTGTAATTACTCAATATCTATTTGTCATGTTTTATATCAGGAAAAGTGGGTGAAATCCAATAATCCGGATTTATATCCTAATTTGCCACCCTTATAGGTGAAATATTTTCTTCAAACTTGAATGGAACTGCTGCTGAGGCATTTAAAAAAAAAGAATCAAAGAAATTGGTTCACAAATGGCGGAGTATGCGCGTAACATACACACAAAAAATACGGTCAAATTGGGAACCTCCTCTATTTGTTGAAGTCGGTTAAAATATTCAGATGAAGATACTTGTATTTCTATAAATTATAACTATCATTAATGGAGTGTCACTTTTAAAGACAGTTTTTTTTTTGTACCTATCAAGTGACGAGACGAAAAAGTCGTGCGCCTGGTGGTAATCGACACTCGTGTTCAAAACAGTTGAATCTGTGTTTATTTGATAACTAATAGGATAATTACTTAAAAAAATCAATCAATACTCATGAACATTCTGTGAGAAAAAAAATCTGAAAATATATCTCGTTGTTTTTCGGTATCTTAACTAACCCCAAAGATATTTATGGTTAAAAGACTGTGGTGGAGGGTTGCTCTGTCCCTTTTTAGCAAAACGGTCATTGGTATGCAGCTTGTACGCCGCCATTAGGGTTGCGACGTTACAAACAATTATTGCCGTTCCTTTCTAACTTCTGATACGCTTGTGACTGTTTGAACTATTGTATTTCTCAACGAATTTCTATTCTGTTTTCACGTTTAATTTATGTTTTGCTTTTTTAACACCTTGTCAATTGCTGTATCGTAATTTACATGTATTTGATACTGAGTACATTGTTTAAGAAAAACATAAATAAAAAAAGAAAAAAGACCTATTAAAAAATAAGTAACACTTCAAACTGTCAGCGCAAAGTGTTGCAAGTAGTAACTCACATTTAATTTTGTTTCTATAATCTTACTTTCAATAATACTAAAGTACATAATTACTTTATATTTGGATGCTATTTTCATGTAAAAAAATATTTAATTACAAATGTTTTTACACATTTTTTATACATGGAAATAGCATACAAATATAAAATAATAATGTACCTTAGCATCATTTAATGTAATATCGTAGAAACTAAATTAAAAGTAGGTTACACCACTATTGCCGCCCCGATAACCCCAAATATGAAAAACGATTGTAAGATTGCAAATCCCTAAACCAACATGATAAAAAATCGGTACGTAAGGGGCAAAGAACCTTCTTAGGTGGCAATTAGTATTTTTTACTACAAAGCATTTTAAATAGATTGAGGCTCTTAATTAGAATAGAATAGAATAGACATTTATTGCAACGCCACTACACATAGATACAAAAAAAACATTGGTAACACTAAAAACACTAAAAAATCTAAAGAATTAATAAACAAAATAACGAATACAAAAAACGAAAAAAAAAACAACATAAAATAGGACAAAACTGACAAATAAAAACAAAAAACCTAAATATAACGACTACAAATGTTGTACTGCCATTTGTGCGGTTGTGGCGTACGCAAAAGCGCTTCATTCAGCTTAAGCCACAGCTAATTAGGCAAATCAATTTTAAGGTCAAATAAAATATGTTAAATACAAAACAAACGACTATTGAACTGCATGTGTTTGACCATTACGGGATTTTTAGCATTCTAAAGCAATATTTGCAAAAACATTTAAATTTCCTCCTTTACCTCTCACCTACAGATACAATTAATTATTATAAAAATCTATTCTGAATTGAACTTTCTTTCCAACAGCATGCTTAGAGCCTTACGCGACGGAGACAGCGATGAGGGAATGCCACGGCAAGCGAAGATGCGTCCTGGCAGCCGACAGCAACATGTTTGGCAAACCGTGCCGAGTGGGCAGCCGAACATATCTTAAAGTCGTTTATACGTGCGGTGAGTACCTAAAGACAAAATCTCAAATCAAATAGCGTGGCGAGGGCCTAAATGGCTATTAGCGTATTAATAATAATTACGAGCCAGACAATTTCGCTAATTACCAGAACTATAAGGCTCAACTCACACTGGAGCAGAGTCGAAGCGTCTCGTCGCGCGACGTCGCTCGCAATAGCGCGCCCGGATCACAGTGTGGTCGGCAACTGACGCCTCATAGCGCGCAAGCAACGCACGGCGTTGTGCCGCAATACGCGAAGCCGCTCGACTCTAACCAAACACCGACGCGCGATTCCATATTTGCATAACATAAATTTGTACCTTAACAATGGGAAAATAGAGATGAATATGCTATAGGCGAAAAACATGACTCGTCGCGACGCTTCGACTCTGCGTCAGTGTGAGTTGAGCCTAACTTGGAAAAGTAATAATATTAATTCCGAGGGCATTACCCATAATGCTCAGACTAGACATAGCATAATGGTAACTCCATATAAATGGCGCAGCGCATCTCGTATGTGCACACCCGCCGCGTGTACGGACGCACATATTCACATAATCTCACAATGCACTTGCGTTGCATAACAGTGGTCGTCCCATCGCGCCTTTCATTATTTTGTGAATGTCTGCGTCTGTATACCGCGCGGCGATCGTGCACCTATACAGCGCTGGTACTTTGTACGGAGTTACCATACTTCTTTTATTTTAATATAATTATTTTAATATACTATATAGAACTTAGAGACGATCCTTTCTTAAATTGGTCTTATCGGTAATGGAAACCGGCTTATTATTAGCTTATATATAAACCGCGTGCACACTACACACACTCCGCAACCATAAACAGTAACTACTCAATATGTATTGCGATTTGTCTGACAAATATTAAGTAGAATATTATATTGTCTTCCTGATATTCCATGCAGATAATACTTTGATTCATGATGGCACTCGCAGAAAACTTCTATTATCTGTGAGGCTTTGTTCCTCTAACTCTTGAGAAATTTGTAATTTAAAACTGGGTTTACAAGCTGACTAGCAAGTTTTTTTTTGCTTTAGCAGCTTTAGCATCTGGCCTCCACTCATTGCTTTGTTTACGGTATTTCTTAATGTAATGGGAAACTTTTTATATCTAGATCGTAAAGCTACAGCAGCATTCTTAGTTTTAATATACAATATTTTATTTTCTGTTCACACTGTATAAAATAATTTTAAAAAGTAAAGCTTTAATTTTTTTGTTTCAGCATATTATTTAGCATAACAAATTACTTTGATTCTGATGTGTAAAACATGTCGCAGAACAATTTATTTCTTTCTTAGAACTACATGAAGCTGAAATTCGTAGACTTTTTTCCTTTAAATAGATTGTATTTCCTTTAATGACAATTTTGTCGCAAATTCGTGGCAAATTCGCAATGGTCTCGTGGTTGCGTAGGTTTTGAATCGTGTGAGATAAACGTGTAGAAATTCATTGCACGACATTTGCCTTTCACAAACTTGTACTCTCTTACTGTAAAATAAGCTCACAGTCCCTTGAAGTATTTATTACCGAACACGGGAGAGAAAATTTAATTGAATCTCTAGTAAGAACCTAATGAAGTAAAAATGAAAATTTTGCGGAACTTTTAGATTTTTTTTATTGAGCAAAGTTTAGTCAATTGTGTTTCGAGCTCTATCCGAGGCTTTTAAGATGTGGATTTACCGCCGTATTTTTAGAATCTCGAGGCGTGACCGGGTTACAATTAATGTAGAAGTACTCAATAAACTGAAGAAAAAAGTGGAGCTTATGACCTCCATTAGATGCAGGAAGATGTCGTACTTCAGCCACGTCATGAGGCAAAATCACTGGAAAACGAAGTATTGGCAAAAGGCGGCACACCTGGTTGAAAAATTTGAAGTAATGGTTCGGCTGCAGTCACCACCTTGCTCCTTAGAGTAGCAGCCTCTAAAGTCAGGATTGCCATGATGTTGTCCAACCTCCGATAAGAGAGGAACCCTAAGAAAACTGGTATCTTCCGTTATCATTATCAATAAAAAAACAAATAAAATTATATTTTTTAACGTCAAAAAACCGATTTTCCGTGTCGTTATAATACGTCAAAATGCCTACTTTGGATCTCATTTCATCTTAAGCAGTAGCTCTCAGTTTTTAACCAATTTTAAAAAAGGAGAAGGTATTCGATTGTATTTCGATGGTTATTTTTTTGTTGGAAAGGTCCCATTCATATTTAAAGAAAATATTCCAACTCTAAAGGTAGTAAACTGGCTAATATTATATTTCACCTACTTTCCTTTAATCGATTTCAATAAAACTGGGCAAATATGTACACATTCCACAAACTTTTGAGGTCGTTTTTTTTATAAAAAATTATTATGTTTTCGATTTTTCCCATCAGTAAAATCAATTTAGTGTTATCTTACAATTAGCCTCTAAGGTGTTGTTATTGAATTTATAAAATGTTATTGCTTGTAAATCAGTTTCAATTGCTGAATTTAATTAGAAACAAAATTTGTTTGTGGTCCAACAAAGTCAACAATACCCGTTTTGTTTTCTAATGTCAAATTTAACGACAATGATGTTTGCCTGAAGTTTTCCTGTTTACAATATTCAGATCCCATATTATTGTTTAGTTAGTACTTACTACGTCGTTCAACCAACAATACCGCTTAATGCGAAAATTGGTTGTTTTTACATTTTAACGTTATTCTAGTCAAAATAAAAGTGAATATAAATAAAAATTATATAACCAACGCATATACAATTATTATTTGTTATCTATAAATAGAGATACAGACACGCGGACCTTGAATGAATATGAATGAATGAATATACTTTATTGCACAGATAAACACACGAACATAAACACATGTATAGATAAACATACGCACAACAGGCGGCCTTATTGCTAAGTAGCAATTTCTTCCAGGCAACCTTAGGATAGGAAAAGTACTTAGAAGGGGGTGCAACCAAGATACTACCACAGCGATAGATTGAGACACAATATTAATAAATACTAATAATAAATATAGTATATAATATAAATAAATACTAATAATAAACACAATAATATATCATTTTAAAGTAAATAAATAAAAATAATAAATACACAATGATATCAATGTAAATACATAAATAAATAATTATAAAAATATTTACTTATTATATTATGATGAAGGATTATAATAACAACAGAACAAGGACATTAAAGACAGAAAGGGAAAGAAGTCACTGCTCAAGAAAGTGCTCCTTGACACGTTGTTTGAAAGTATGTAAAGAGGGGGATCGTCGAATATTTTCAGGGAGAGAATTCCACAATCGGATAGCAGAAACAGTGAAAGAGTTAGAGAAAAAATCAGAAGAATGGGAGGGCATTTCTAAAGAAAGGGTTTGAGAGGAGCGAAGTGGACGGTCAAGTGTAGAAGCGTGAAAGACGAAACGTTCTTTGAGGTAAGGAGGAGCAAAGGTGTCGTAAAGAATTGAAAAAAGGAGGGAAAGGACGTGAAGGTCTCTACGACGGTGGATTGGTAGCCATTTAAGTTGTTTGCGAAACTGGGAAACATGGTCGAATTTCCGGAGTCCGAAAATAAAGCGTATGCACATGTTTTGGAGCCGTTCCAATTTATTAAGAAGAGTGACTGTCAAATCAGGGTAGCAAACATCAGCATAGTCCAGTATCGGATGTAGGAGACTTTGAGCCAGGTTAATTTTGGTTTTAATTGGCAGGTAATTTCTTAATCTTCTCAGTGAGAAAAGCGCATTAAACACCTTCCTGCTAACCTCAGCAACGTGCGGTTTCCATGAAAGAGATTTATCAAAAATAACCCCCAGATTCTTAACTGACTCCCAAATAGAAATCTGGACACCATCGAACATCACCGGTGGAAGCGAGCTATAATCGATTCTTGATGCAAACCACGGACTACCAATAACGATGCACTGAGTTTTGGACGGGTTAACCTTAAGTCCAAACGACTGACTCCAGAGAAGTATAGAATTAAGGTCGTTATTGGTAGCATTGACAGCAGATGTTATATTACTAAGAGACGACTGGGTGTAAATTTGCAAATCGTCCGCATAAAGATGATAGGAAGAAGTGATCGATTGAGTAATAGAATTGATAAAAATAGAAAATAAGAGAGGAGAAAGAACGCCGCCCTGCGGGACGCCGGCAGAGGTGCCACACCACGTAGAGAAGGAATCATCAAAAAGTATCCGCTGTCGACGTCCACACAGGTAGCTCTGAAACCAATCAATAACTGCTGGAGATATGTTGAGAGAACGTAGTACTCCCAATAAAAGATCGAAGTCGACACCGTTGAATGCGTTGCTGAAGTCAAGGAGTGTTAAAATAGTGACTTGTTGTTTCTCCATGCCCGCACGGAGGTCGTCAGTGGTTTTAGTGAGTGCCGGTGCGGAAACCAGACTGGTAAGGATTGAAAAGGTTGTTACGGTTTAGGAACTGAGTTAACTGATAGTGGACAAGCTTTTCTAGGACTTTGGACAGGAAAGGAAGAATTGATATGGGACGGTAGTCCGACGATGTACTCGGCTTGGATTTTTTAGGGAGCGGAATGATGTAAGCATCTTTCCAAGCAGTGGGAAAAACACAGGTGGAAACAGATTAATTAAGGATCTTAGTAATGACGGGAGTGAGGATATCAAGGAGAGGAACGATCATATTACGACTAATGCAATCACTACCAACAGCATTAGATGAAATAGCTAAAATGTTTCTCTCAACATCACAGTCAGTAAATTGATTAAGAACAAAAGAAGAATAATTAGAAGTAGTTGTAGTTGTAGTTGTAGTTGTAGTATCAGGGTTAAGATCATGAGAAGAAGTAACACCTTGTTATGTCTCAGGGTGCCGGGCGTAGTGACAGTACCTCTCAGATGTTTGCGATTTAAAGCTCTCAGTGGCACAGCAACTGTTATAGACAGGCATGTCGCTTAAATTATTTATTGTTATCATTATCTATCATTATTATCATTATATATTATT